CCTGTGTCATGTAGTTCATGAAGCAGTGCAAAACCTTGGCAAAGAAAATCACATAATGCTCACCTGAGGGGAAAGGGTTTTGCAGACCAAAAGGAGAAAAAAAATCCAGAACATGATTCCACAGGAAACCCAAGTGCTGCTCTGGGACTTCTCTTCTGGGCTGCTCCTTTGCTTTCCCTCCACCTCTGGCAGCACTTTGATAGCTGCCATTGGCTCCTTTATGTTGCCAGGTTGTCATGACTTCAAAAGGATGAGCATGAAGCTGATGTGAGCTAAGAGAGGAGCCATATCCTTCCGCATAACTAGGAGGTTGGACTGTGCAGAGAGGAAAAGTGCCCAGTGATGTGGTTGTATTTCAGGGCAATAGCATTTCCCTGGTGATGCTGTGCTGGCTGAATTCTCTGTGAGACTTGGCAGCTTTTGGTGTTTTCATTAAGTATTTACCAACAAGCCCAGTCTGAAGTTGTTTTTTTCCTTCTTACCTTCAATTTTCCCCATCTTAAACAGTAGGTTCTTAGGTTACTTCACAACCATGTTTTTATAGAGCACTCCAGGAGTAAAGAGTTGGACGTAGTGCACAGCAAAACAACCATTTTGAGCACGCTTCCTTTTCCCTACAAAGAGGCACTGAAAGCAATGGCAGGAGGATGCTGGCAAGCCAGAAGGTTGTGGGCAGGTTATTTCATGCCCTCTGCCTTTTGAGCTCACCAGCCTGTGCTCAGCCAGTGCGTCTCAGCGCCTGTGGCTGGAGGAAAAAAGTGAAATACTTTGCTGTCTCAGAATGGCTGCAGAACTGAGCAGGGATCCCCCGCTAAAGGAAACCTGTTCAGGCTACGGGTTTTTTCATGCCAGACCCTGGTTTGCCATTATTGAAACTCCACAACGAGGCGTTTACCAGCATTGTCCCTATATTTACAATACCTTTTGACTGAGATGTCTAAGAGCTTTAAACATATGCTTTGAGCAGCAGACAGTTGGGGCTGACATTTGTTACAAATCTTTTTCAGAGGGCCGTGTGGAATCGTCCTAATCCGGGAAGAGCCACTGCCTCCCTGTGTGATCTGACAGACTGACATATCACTTGACCTCGGTCACGGCAGCTGTACAACGAGGTGGAAAAGGCGGCTGACGGACAACCAGGGGATGCCTTTCAGCACAGCTTCCTCGGGCTAAACCACCGGCAAGCACACGGCTTGGCTTCTTTCTTACTCATCCATGAGTTTTAGATCAAATTCAGGTTTTGCATAGTTTCTCTTGGATTTTTTCTTTTTTCTTTAATACAGTAGAAACGAGGGTGACGCAGTAACCTACCGCTGGTTCCCTGCGGCAGAGCGGCAGCCGGGAGGCCGGCCGTTGCAGGCGGCCGTTCCCGCTCGCTGCATCGGGACTGGAAGCCGCGCTCCCCACCGTGGCGCTGCCGGGTCTGCAGGGGGCGCGGCGGCTCCGCTGCAGCTGCAGCCGCACGGCCAGCACGGCCCCCTCCCGGCGTCCTCGCGTCCCCGTCCGATGCCTTGAAACCCTCTTCGCTGCCTCGGAGGAGCGTGCCGGCACGCGAAGTGCTGTGTCCCCGACCTGAACTGAGGGCGTCTCGAAGCCGCGGTAGTTTTACCAACTGGTAGCATTTAAAACCTCGCCTTTAGGCGTTGCATTAGTTTCTCAGCAATTGTCAGCCGTTAAGTTATTGCAGCTGGGCAGATTTTTAATTAAATTGATACTCTTAGTGTTTTGTTTGTTTGTTTTCCTGGCAGATTCTAATCAATACAAACTATAGGCTGATGGCATCCTGGCTTGTATCAGGAATGGTGTGGTGAGCAGGAGTAGGCAAGTCATCCTGCCCCTGTACTTGGCACTGGTGAGGTCTCACCTCGAGTGCTGTGTTCAGTTTTGGGCACCTCCGTACAGAAGGGACATTGGAGTGCTGGAGCAGGTCTAAAGAAGGGCATCAAGGCTTGTGAAGGGCTTGGAGAATATGGCCTATGAGGAGAGACTGAAGGAATTGGGGATGTTCAGTCTGGGAAAAGGAGGCTGAGGGGAGACCTCATTGCTCTCTTCCAATATCTGAATGGTGCTTGCAGCGAGAGCAGGGCTGGTCTCTTCTCACTGGTGACAGAATGAGGGAAATGGCCTCAAGTTGTGCCACGGTAAGTTTAGGTTGGATATCAGGAAACACTTCTTTACAGAAAGGGTTGTTAAGCACTGGAATAGGCTCCCCAGGGAGGTGGTTGAGTCACCATCCATGGATGTGTTTAAAAAGCATTTGGATGTGGTGCTCAGGGATATGATTTAGTGGAGGGTTGTTAGTTAGGGTAGTTTGGTTAGGTTGTGGTTGGACTTGATGATCTTTAAGGTCTTTTCCAACCTGAGAAATTCTATGATTCTATATTTTCACATCATTATCTCACACACAAGTGTAAGACAGATTATGCCCGTTGTCTCTGGAAGGGGCAGAGTGTCTGTATTATGATCTTCTGTAAACTTCTTGAGAGGCCTCTGTTGTATCCAGCACAATTATTCCCAACTCTGCCTTCTTTTCCTGCATGTCTTATCTTCATAGCAAACTGAGCTCTATCCTGCAGGACCACTAGGAAACCTCTGGAGACAAAGACTGAGTGCCAAACATCTTTCTGATTTGCACTTTCATTCCCTGATGACACCCAAGTAGAACTGGGCTGCTGGGTAATGGAAGCTCTCCCTGCACTATTTTATCCATTAGCTCAGACACAGTTGAGAAGAATTTATACTGTATGAAAGAACATACAAGTTGTGAGCAGCCACACGGTCTGAATGTTAAGGATTCATCCTTCCTCCTGCACAAAGTATTTAAGGTCATGTTTTAATATTTGAAAAACAACTCATGGTCCTGAAATGTTATATTTTTTAGGACTAAATGTGAACAGGGCTTCAGGGAATAGATGTGCTGCTAGTTGAAGATGCTGTAGCAGCTCTGACCCTCCAAATTTTGAAGCTGGGGACTAAATCAGTGTTTCACTGAGCAGCACTTGCACATTTTGAGTGGTATGGAAAATACAAAGTATATCTGAAAACGCATGATAACACAGAATAATTGCAGTTGGAAGGAACATCTGGGGATCATCAAGTCCAACTCTCCTGCTAAAGCTGCTTCCCTATGGTAGGCTGCAACTGTCGTCATGGAACAGACCCAAAAGAGCAGATATGCACTGTGCTTAGTGCTGTGATATTTGCCTTGCTGAGTGATCAGCCTAGCCAAACTTCCTCTTCTTAAGGGTCTTTGGATCAGTTATTCATATATTTATTAGTGCAAACTCTCTGGCTTTGACAGGAATTTTTAAATAATGTCTTTCTTCACAATGTTTTGCTTTTATATGTTTCTCTTTACAGTCTTCTGCATTTTGTCCCTTTGCCCTTAGCCTTCAGGCTGATGACTGTTCTAACAGACACCATCTAAGAATCACCATCCATTCAAATACACTTCATCTGTTGTTCTTTCTTGTTATAAAGGCATCTTGTGCTTTAGTGAAGTCTTTAGATCTGTTAGGAAAGGTCTTTTATCAAAAAGGCAAAAATTTGACACTTAAGAGACTCATTTTATCACTTTGTCTACCTTTTAATCATTGAGGAGCTGTAAAAATCTAGGCACCCAGCTGAACATAAAAACATTGCACCAGTTTTGCATTGGCAAATATACATAATGCCTTTACATGGAAAAGGCAAACGTCCCAGGAGTCTGTAAGAAGTAGGCTGTAGATGTTGCAGCTTGAATTCATGAGAGGACTTCCCTGAAGCCTGAATCACCTCTCTCCAGCTCAAAGGAGAGCCCAGCCTTCCCTCTTTCGTAAAGGTTGGTACAATAGCTAGTTATGCTCTTTTACCTTCTGTGTTTTAAAAATGCCAGGATGCTGAGAAGCTCTAGGAAGAATGGCTCTGTACATCCAAATCATAAACTAATGATAGAATTAAAGGAAACAATGTGAAGCCATGATACATCTTAAAAAACCCCAAAGCAATAGGTGCTTGAATGTCTGACCTGCATGCATGAAAGTAGAGGCAGAAATAACGCATAAACTCATTCTTTGTCCCTTGGCAAGGATGAGACTGTAGCATAGTCTTTTGAACTTAGTGAGTTTTGAGCTTAGTGTCCTGCAGTCTGCTCCATATGGTTTCTGAATTTAAAATAGGTGGGATTTTTGTTTGCTTGTTTGTTTTTAATAAGAGAGCACTGAAATAAACCCAGAATGTTAGAGAAGTGTGATTTTAATAATGATCAGCAGCATGAGATCTCTACTTTCCACTCAGTCCTGTTGTCCATCTGAAAAGCTTTTCCACAGGAGGAGCTCTGAGAAACCTTTGGTAATTTTATATCCTGTATTGACTTGACAAAAAGGGCATTTGCTCACAAGATTCCCTTCAAGGCTAAGTGTTGAATTCTTGGCATTCCCAGAAGACTTATGTTGAATTGTATGAATTTAGCTCTTTGCCTATGTAACTATGGAAAGCTCTGGATGTGCCAGGGTCTCCCTGCTCTAGTTTGTCCATATTCTATTGCTTAGATCTGCCTATCTAGTGTCTTCGTAGTCTCCTTACTACAGCTTCATGAATCAGTCTGGGCCATAGGTGCCAGAAATAGTTAATGAGTGGCTGCTGTGCAGTCAGGGGGCAATTGTGTATGTGTAGAGCAAAGGGGAATGTCTCCTGGGCATCCTTTGGCCAAGAGTGCTGATGAGTGCTTAAACTAAGACAGTGTAAGCCAGAGACAATGCAGACAAATTGGATGGTCTTTGGAAATTCAGTACTATACTGTGCCCTTATTACTACTAGTAAGTATTTCTCTTGTGAGCTGAGGCTCTCTCTGTATGAAATAATGAGCAGGAAGATGGCTGGGTTGTGCAGCTTGTGCCTGAGACTGCAGTTTGTGGCTGAGCTATCAGTGCTATGTGGCTCTGAAAAAAGGCAGCTGCGGCTTTTGGCTCATGCCATTTCCAAAGGCACTGAGGAGAAGCAACGTGGAATACTGTGTACAAATATGAGCATAGCATTCCTGACAAAGTTGCCCCAGTACCTTTTACAGTGGTATGAAAGTGGTTCTCACTAAAGATATCTCAGCTGCTATGAGTAAGAACTAGATATGCCTTTTTCAAAAATGGGCCAAAACTGGAGAAAATGTTGAGATTTTATGCCCACGTGACCAAGGGAAAAGAGAAAGAAAAATATGGGGAGGGATTAGAATGCTTAGTTTCTTTAAATTGGCAAAATTGGTAATGAGAGAGGTTATGGTGGTTGTCTGTATGTGCAAAAGCTTTTAAAAACTGGGGACTATAAGATTTTGTCTTAGCAGATTGGCAGACTAGATTTTTAATGGAGCAGAAGGGATCATCTAATCTATATCAAATCAAAGTAAACAGTTTCATCTGACTCAACTTGAGCAGGTATGTTTGTATTCTCTTTTCAGTAAGGCATCCTGGCAGCCTGTGTAGTAAGACCATAGCTCAGCAAGCTCCTGATTGCAGCATGTCCCAGCAGGCTGCAGAAGGTAAGTGATAGCTTGTTTGTGATGTGCTGGTGTTCATATCAGGCAAATTCATCCTTACTCATTAGCATTCAAGGGAGAAAGGAAAGCTGTTTGTAGGCTGACTTTCTGCATAACCTGTGTTTTTGGCTTGGTCTGAGAAATTCTTTCCCTGACCTTTTAATTGGAGGCAGTGTTTTAGATTTAGTATTATTAAAGATGTTTGCTCTTTAGAATACCTTTTATTTTTCTTGTTATTACCCCTTACTCCCAAGTGGCATAAAGAGTGCTGTGTTTTGAGAAGAGGACACAAGAATGGCTCAGACAAGAGAAATAAGAGCAAAGCTGAAGTATGTAAGGTAGCATTCTACATAAACCTGCTTGTCTTGTTTCAAGATGCATAGATTTCTGTCCATCTTGTCGAGCAGTTCTGTTATCCCCAGTAGCTCCTGATGATTGTTCTGAGGAAAGATAATTCATCGTCCTGCCAAAATACCTACAACCCATTTCTGGATTTAAGGAGAAATCTTCCTTACCAGTTGGAGTCAACCTTCAAGTATGTCCCTGCCGAAGGACGTAAAACCCAGCAGGACTCCCTTATCAGATGGCATTAACTGATGTGGTGCTGTCATTTTCGATACATTTGACTTCTTGGCTCCAACCCCCATGCTGAGATCTCATGTTCCTTTTTTCCCCAGGGTCATGTCTTACACAGAGTCCCCACTGTGGCTTTGCTCTGCTGGGTCAAGGGAAACATGAGATGACAATTTTTGCCCTTTCCTGTTAATAGTTAAAATTATAGAAGGGGTAAGAAGAGGTCTGTATGGATTTCATCTTTAAGATTGATTTTATAATGACAGGGGAACATGGAAAGACGGACCCATTCCAAGGCTTTTGGCTTCCCACACCTTTCAGAAAGGGACAGCAGGATGACACCTCAGAGGCTCTGTATCTGTCCCAGATTGTGACTGTTTTCTTGTGAAGAGCAAATGTGTGATTCAAAGAGTGCCTGGCAAAAGCTTCTTCTAGTTCTGCAGCAGCGGCACGGGAAATATTTCATGCATGTAGAAGATGGAGCATCCCTGTAGACAGTTGTTTTCTGCAACCTTTTGCAAGTTTGGGGAAAAGCTATTAAGTACTGTTTCTCTTTCTTTCTTTAAAAAAAGACAGAGAGAAAGCCTGCATTTTCTGCCATTTCCCAAGAGGCTTTTTATCTGTTTAAACCAACTAGGGATTTTTCACATATTGACATAAGCATTCATTTGCTAATTTGCTGGACATTAAACTGCACAGCATTCTTGAATGAGGCTGGAATACTTGGGTACTTAGTGCTGCTCAGACCCCGCATCATTCCCAGTACACATATGGTTTTCCTCCTCTATCTCCTAGATAAAAGTCACTGTTTGATCGCCTTAAGGGAAAGAATGAGTTAAATGGACCAATATTTTAGCCTTGGCTCTAAAACTGGGCCTTTTCAGAAACTCCTCAGCACCTGCAGCAGCTAGGTCATTTGCACATACATAAATAAATAAATTAACAATGAATAAATAATTTAATCCCACCACACAATGCCACCTTGCAGATCTGATCCTTTGCTCCCAGTGAATTTGTCCATTCCTAATTCTTTTTGATAAAGTCCTCAGATACTTGCTGACTGTCAGTCTAATTTTCTTATTGTTTTCGCTTGATTAGTTCTGTATGACCTAAGGTCGCCCTTAAAATCCACATCTCTCGTGAAGACTCCGAAAGGCCTTCTTTTTTTTCAAAGGGATGGAAAGTGACTGCCATTTCTCCGGACAAAAGCCTGGAAGGTTTTCAGTTATTAGCCTCCTGAAGCAGCCCTTTCGCTCACCCAAGCGCAAAAAAAACTCATTAGGGGGCACCTTTCTTTCTGCCTTCTTCATCTGATGCATGTAGGGTTTACGTGTTTCAAGATTTTCAGGTCTAGGATGGATTTGGCCAGCCTCCCTTTTAACCCTGCCGGACTGTGGTTACGCCCTGGGCAGAGATTGGTTGTATCTCTGTGCACTGAAGCACCTGGACATGCTTCGTCCTTTCAGCAGCTGTTTTACAGCCCACTGGTCTGCTGTTCTGTTGAGCACTTCTCGTACAGCACTGCCATACCTGTGCCTGCCTTTTAAGAAGAAAAGCATCCCAACAGTATACTGGCAGATATTACAGTAATGAATAGTTCTTGCTTACCTATGATGTTTACTGAGGGTATAATTGATACAGTTGTCCACAAAAGAAATCGTAATTGCAAGGACAAGTCGCATCAAACCGGGAAGTGTTTTCTCTTTCAGAAAGGGGCTGCCTGGTCTCTGATGAGAGATCTCTACTTTGCCTGGGATCTGAGCCTGAAGAGAAGAAATACACAGGAGCAGAAGGAAGATAAACAGGGCCAGATAGAGAGCAGCACCAGTGGAATTCTTGTGGACAAATACTTTGTGTCTCGCTCCTGCAACACTATTTCTCCTTGTCCTGTCTTGAAGAGCAGCTGCTCTTCCACTCCCCTGGGTTGAAACCTGTTTTGGAAAGCTCAGGGCTGTAGCTAAGGTCTCAGTTCCAAGCGTGTGGATGACAGTTTTGTAGCCACTAGTCTTGCTACAGCCTGTTTTCAAGGCCAAGTGAAATTCTCTTTCTTAGTTTGGAAGAACACACTGTTGCAACCACTATTTATTTTTTTGCCAGTTCCTCTGAAATCCCCATGATACTGACAATTTACTTCCACTTCTTTTTTACCAGTTCCTCTGAAACCTGAGGGAGATCAGCCCTCCATAAAATCAAGCCAGCCAGGTGCATAAGGCTGGACCTGTGTGCAAATCCTTGCAGGTTCTGTACCACCAACTGCATTACTCTTTCTGTTGGCATAAATTCTGACCAGCTGTTAGCTTGAGATTAGTGTAAAATAGTGTGGAAGCTATGTGACGAGGAGAAATTGTGTCAGCATGATACCAGGCAGTCTTGTTTATAACTTTCTGCATCAATGTCCTTTCCACCCAAACAATTTAGAGGTATTCAAACTTTCTGAATAAACTTGACCCATTAGTTAAAAAGAAGCTTGAAGCTTTAGATGAAATTAACTCCTAGTGTCTCATTCAGAACACTGTGTGCATTCTGTTGAAGAAATCCTACTAAAAATAAGCTAAAACCATGCTGGGTGATGCTCTGCCTGGAGCTCCACTCAGTGTCTCACACAGAGAGAAAAGAATTGGCTTCCATTGAAACCTATTGCCACTGGCAAACCTCTACTATGTACGTACTTTAAAATAAGCATTTTCTGATTCTGTGTGCAGGTTGTTCATACATAGAGTTCCTGAAGCCCTTTGCTTCTTTTTGACCATGTGTAAGAATGGGAGGGGAGTACCATAGCTGTTGTCATGCAGGCATCTCGAAGGTAAACCAGTGCCACAGGAGCTTCTGAGTGTGGTATTTTGACAACCAGACTACGGAGAAAGGTACGCTGGCTTTCACTGAGTGGCTGATGGTTTTGTTTGAAATAGTGCTTGCTGGAGGAAAATAATAAAAAGACGTTATTTCCCCCCCTGAAATTCTTCCCACCTTTTCCACCTCTTCTAGCAGTACAGGCAACAAGTACAATAGAAACATCTGTCATAGGATAAACAGCCTCTGGGGTAGCCTTAAACATTTGTGAGCTGTTCAGTTCATCAGATTCACTTGCTACACCTTCAGTCTGCATAGCAGACACACAAGAAGAGAGACTTTTTTTTTTTTTTTTAATGAGCAACAAGTCTTGCAGGTGAAATAGAGAAAGATTTTAGTTGGCAAAGCTGCTGAAGACTGAGCTGAACTTCTCATGATGAAACATGGAGAAGTATAGCCCCTCTGAAATACCTGTGCAGATAAGTAAGATTACATGGCAGGCAGCAGTAAGGGTGGGATTCAGCTGCCCTGATTTTTTCCCCTGCCTATATATGTGAATATGACCTATTGATCCTGCATTCCTTCTTGATTCAAAAGAAGGAAAGAGACATGTTCCAAGACACATCAGCTCATTTTAAGGGAAAGTCTGAAATCGGTCTGGTCAATCACCCACTGGAAAGGCCTGTTTTTCCCTCTGGAGTAGAAAAAGAGCTTAGAGTGATTAATTCACTCTTGCACCTCTACCCTCAAGACATTTAATGCTTGATTAAAGTCAGCTGCCCACGAGTTTTAGTACATCCTTCTATTAGCAAACCACTGAAAGGTTTTTCCTTTATGCTATGACTTTGCCTTGTGACAAAATAAGTTTTTAAAGAACCTGAATGAAAAAATCCCATTGGTCTCATCCCATCCTTGGTTGTTTGTTTGTTTTTTATCTGGTAAAGAATTAAACTCACCAGCATCCTATTGGTGGACCTACAGGCATGCTATATCCTTACCTTACAATAAGGCAATTCTGATGAGGAGCTAAATGGGGCTTTGTGCTCTAGAATATAATTGTCATTTTCCCAAAATAATTTATCTTGTTTTTTTCTTTTTCTGTTTGCAGTTATGGTGACTAGAAGACTCTTTGAAGAGTCTTTAAGAAGCATGTTGGCAGCTGAATTTCAATCCATCCCAAATCTCCACAGCTTCCTGCTAAAAGAGGATGAAATTGACCACATGCTCTCAAAATTCATCTCAGTCTGAAAAGGCAAGTTAATTGCAAATCCAGTTTGGAAAAAAAAAATTATAACAAACAAAAAGCAAAAAAAAAAATTTTCAGAACTGCTGCAAGTTAGAATATTCCTTTGAGAAGAATAACAGCCTTTATATTCTCCCAGTTGCCTATGCTTCTAGCTACATCATTTATACATCTTATTTATATCCCCTGTCTATTGATTGTGGGTCATATCAATACTCTATGTTGTTTTGTGGAGAGGTGCTAAAAGCTCTTTCTGAGAGCTTAAAGCAAAGCTGAAAATAAGACAGATACTGACTGTATGTAACATATGTCATGTGACTAAGAAAATGAGCTCTCTGAGAAGGAGTGGCTACGTTGCTCTGCGGAGCAGCAGATTGATTTGAGAAGGTGAAATATTCAAGCTGCTTTGCTGCTGGGAGCCTCCTCACAACAGAAGAGGGTTCCTTTGGCCTCACAGAGTTAGTTTGAATCCTGCACGTGCATGTAAGAGAGTAGATTATTTTGCCTAGTTGTGTCATCTTTTCTTCTTGGGGGAACAGTTCATGCCTTCAGTATAGCAGGCAGTAGGGCCTGCTCTGCAGTTGTTCTGCACATGACTTCACTTTCACCATCAGAGTAACTGAGTGTTTAGGACCAAGGTAGGTTACTTACTTTCCATACACCTTTGCAAACACAGGGCTGTGTGGCTTAATTAGCAAATTGAGCACCAGGAGCCACCGAAATATGGATCACTTACCTGTTTGGTAAGGTCTGTGCTGAGGCAGCTCCATCATGCCTCCTCCTCATGGAAACAGCTCTAGCTTCAGGGCTCTCCAGAGAGCTTTGTCTGCTTTCAGGAGTTAAGGATTTGGTCCAGAATGTACACAAGTAGCTTGTTTGTTTCATGCAGACAGTAATTTGTAACCAACTTAAGCACTGGTATCCTTTAGCAACATTTAATTGTTTTCATGCATCGTAGCCATCTAACAGGTTTTATTTGGCTTTCTGCACCAAAAAATGTACTTCTGGTCTTGTTCTTTTTCCAAATACTTTCCCTCCTTCTCCAGGCATCAAACAGGATTTACAAAACTTTCAGTAATAAAACTCCAATAAAAGGTGGTTTTTTTTTTTTGTTTTTTTTTTTTTAATCTCTCTCTTTTTTTTTTGAAGAAACGAGAAGGTAATGTATGAATAAAGTGTGTGATGTAAGAAAATTATTACTACATCCTTCTACAAAAAGAGGTTTTATAGTGGAACATGCAGGACTGGTTGATTTCCTTAGAACTTTCCAATATACATTTGTGTTGTATGTAATGTATATTGTTTCAGGTTCTCCAAAGGCTTGTAAAAATGTGTAGTCTGTGCTTGATGAATCTCATTGATCCCTGTTAGATTTTCTCTTTTTGAAAGTGAAGTCATGTGAGGTTTGTTCTGTAGGTTTTACTGTTGTTGTTCTTTCTACAGATCTCAGTCCTGAAAACCCAGCAGTGGATTTGGAAGTAAAGGTGAATTGTTTCTGTCCTATATCCTTTGACAGCAAAATTTTACACCTTAACATTTACTCACAGCTATGGTGATGTCGCTGTTCTAAGTCAGTAAGGTTGTACAGGTGGACATTTTACTTTGGGGGAAAAATTAACAAAAAGATCCATCCTGTATGTTAGCCATAAAATACTGACCCTTGCAGGCTGATTTCTGCGAATTCATCCTCTGGAATGGCACTAATGTAGCATACGTGGGAAGTTACGAGGCTCCAGCAAACCCACATTTAAGCAAAGAATCAGCACACTCTACTAGGAAATGCTGAGAAAAACAAAACTGAATCCAACTAAATGATGGCAGAGATCCTATATAGGCTTGATGTGTATGTAGGGCCTCCTTTCAGTATCTAAAGGGACTGTAAGAAGGAAGGGGACAGACTCTTTAGCGGGGTCTGCTGTGACAGGACAAGGGAAAATGGTTTAACACTAAAAGAGGGGAAGTTTGGATTGGACATAAGGAGGAAGTGTTTTACACTAAGGGAGGTGAAGCACTGGCACAGGTTGCCCAGAGAGGCGGTGGATGCCCCATCCCTGGAGACAGCCAAGGTCAGGCTGGAGGGGCTCTGAGCACCTGATGGAGCTGTAGGTGTCCGTGTTCAGTGCAGGGCAGCTAGACCAGATGGCTTCAAAGGTTCCTTAAACTCAAATGGTTCTATGATTCTGTGGTACTACAATTCATTTGCATGGTACCCAAAGCACATGCATGTCCAGGGGAGGAGTATGCTGGTGTGAGGGCAGTAGTCCTCCCTCCCTCTTCCCTGGATGGAGAAAGGACCCCAACCTTGTCACTGTCTGGAGCTCAACTTCATGCTTGCAATTCAAAGTTGGAAGTCTCCTATTTGATGTCCTGAGCCCAAGCCTTAGTCACCTTATGCCTTTCAGAGGGCTAACCAGGGTACACTGTTTCCTTTGAATTCAACAGAAGTGGCTTCATAGGGACAGAGAGATTATGAACGTGCTCTCCCAAAGAAGAGGACCCAGGTTTTAGCCTCAAAGACTTCAAGCCTGAGACTTCAGCTTCCTAGAAGAATGCCTAAGCCTAGGGCTAGGGAGAAGGAGCCACAGGCTGCTGAGCCACTGAAGGCACTTCCTGCCATAAGGTTGGCTGGGAAGGCTTGGGTTGAGCTGTATCCTCCTCTAAATGCCTGCACCTTTCAAGAGCTGACAATGTGGGTGTGTGTTGAGGTTCATAGCTGAGTTCAGAGCCATTGGGTGACTGTGAGTCTCCAAATATAGGATTGCAGTGTGAGTGGATGTAACTCCTCCCACAGGCTCTGGGTTCAGCCCTCAGCCACCACAATGTTCACCAAACAATTAATGGCTGAGTTGTGGACCCCATCATGTGTTCCCTGTTCCCTTGCAAGATGCCCTCAGTAAGGAAGGCTTTTATTATTATTATTATTATTATTATTATTATTATTATTACATACTCATTTTCTAAAAGAGGACTGCACTTTTAGGTATGTATTAGTTATTAAAAATTAAATTGCCTTTAAACTTTTATAGCATATCTCTGAAACTTCAAAATTTTTCTAGAAAGAGTATTTATTTGCCTGACTAACTGCATTACTGCTGCTGAGATATGCTGCACATTTCCGTCGCTGTAGTGTGAAGATGAATGTTAAAAATGTTTCATACATTCAACTGGATTTGGTATTCTGAGTTGGAATCTCCTGAGTTACTCCTCTTTCCTCACATTTGGTGTATGTGATGTTGCTGTCTCTCACCTTTGTTAGGAGTTTTGGTTTAATGTGCCGCTGTGTGGCATGGGGGTAGGTATCAGAGCTTTAACCTGTGTATGTATTAAAATGCAGTTCTTTTTGCTAGAAATAAATGTGATGATGTCAGAGGGGATGGACGCAGCAGGCACATCTGTGAGCTCCACTTCTTGCAGCTCCTGCTCAGCAAACACACACCGGTCAGCTGGGAGGTCTCCTTCCCACAGACCATCTTTGCAGGTGAGTTGCTGGTAAGTGCGCGCTGCTCCAGCACTAATGATCCAAACGAGGCAGCAGGGAAAGAAGCTGCTGTGGGTAGGGAGGGCTTTGCACCCAGGTGCCATAGATCCTATGCTCTCCTGGTGCGAGCAGTGTGACCCTGGTGGAATCACAGCCACAGAATGGCAGGGGTTGGAAGGGACCGCAAGCGATCATCGGGTCCAACTTCCGTGCTAAAGCAGTTCCCTGCAGTAGGTGGCACAGGTAGGCGTCCTCTGTGCTGTAGGGGACCAGGAGTGTGGTGGCATCCCATGGAGCAGGGACACCAGGAGTCACAGACCGACCGGAATTCTGCTGCTGTGGGACAAGGGGTCATAGCGGTACCCAAAGTCAAATAAAAAGAACCTTGTCATCAGCTGACAAATTATCCTGAAATTACTCTGCTTGCTTCAACTTAGGGGCAACTCTGTGGCACGGGCTCTGTGTCCGAGGGTGGGAAGCACTGCAGCCGTGGTTGTGCACGAGGGCTGCTGCAAAACCATGGGAAGAAGGAAGCACTCTGCTCTGTGCTATGGGCACTCAGCTCACAAACCTGCTTCACAGTGAAATAAGCATGACATGAGAACGTTCCTGCTGGTTGTGGGCCTGTTCAGAATGTAAACTCTGAATGTCGAGTGGATGGATGCAAGCTGCTTGTGTGTCTCTGTGACCTAACCGGAGGTGGTTTATTCCTGCAATAGCTCAAATAAATCCTTCCGATAAATCAGTGAGTTGGAGACGTTTTCAGTAACACAACGTTGCAGAGATGAGCGTAACCTCAGCTACTGCCCAGGTGAGTGACAGCTGCGTCAGTGTGAGCTGCAGAGCACCCGGGGCGGGTGGGGATGAGCCGAGGGGTGGTGTGGGGCCGAGGGGCGCGTGTGCGGGGCTGCGGGAGGCTTATCGCCGGGTCATTGTGCAGCCGGAGGGGTTTATCCTCCGCGGCCAAATGAAAACGGAGAGGACAAAAAAAAACATCCCGGATAGCAACATTCGAGATACAAAGACTGTCACGGGCCAGTGCGAGTTGGCAAAATTGTATGTAAATGACGGCAGTTTTGTCCGTGGTGGCCCTCTGCTAATCCCAGAGAGAAAATCTACTTAGCCGGGGAAGTTCTGTCTGATTTGGTTAACAGTGCCCGAAATGAATCTATTAATAATTTATACGTCCAGGGAAACACTGTATCTTTAATGCTACAATGCCAGAGGGGAGGAAGGGGTCACACACCCGCTCAACGCTCGGAGCACAACTCGCGCGGTGTCCCGTTAGCACGGCGAGGGCGCCCGGGGCCGCGGGCCGGAGCTGTTCCCTCCCGCACGGCCCTTCCCCGCTCTTCCACGGCGGCACTTCGGACGGGAGGCACGCTCTGCGCACGGCGCGTTGCGGCGGCGAACTGTCCGTCCGTCCGTCCGTCCTTCCGTTCGTCAGCCCGTTTGCCCGCGCGCAGAGGCGCGGACGGTTCACGGACTGCGGTCATCCCGCGGCGCGCCCGGCTCGCAGTCCCGCACCGGGACGCGGGGGGAGCCCCGCGGGCGATCGGCTCTGCACCTCCTCGGCCCGCCCCGCTCCGGGCCCCGCACCGAGCCGCGGCGCGGGCGATGCGTGCCCAGTGCGGGGCGAGGCGCCGCGCCCCGTTGCTCCGTGCCGGGGGAAGCCGAGGAAGCTCCCCACAGACACGCGGGGCCGCGGCCGCAGCTTTCTTCCGGCGCCGTCCAGGTGGAGTCCGCGGCGCCGCGGCCCTATAGCACGGCGGGGGGGTGCTGGCCGGGCGGCAGCCCGAAGGCGCCGGGGGGCGGCGGACCCAGCAAGCCGAGGTAGCGGCGCTCCAGGCCCTGCGCGGACGGGAGGAAGGCGGCGCGCTGCTGCCCGGGGCCGCCCAGGGCCGCGGGGGCGGGCAGGGGGCCGTACGGCCACGGGAAGGGCTCGGCGGGGCCCGGCGGGCGCTCGGGGGGCGGCGGGAAGGCGGCGTCGGGCTCCGGCTGCGCGGCGAGGAGCGGCTCGGCGGCGAAGCGCGCCTTGGACTGCAGGAAGGCGAGGATGCGGGCGTACTTGGTGTCCTTGGTCTCCATCCGCTCCACCGTGGTCAGGTAGTGCACCAGGTTCTTCATGCACTCGTGGTAGCCGTAGTGGAAGTAGTTGGCGAACTCGGAGAGCAGCTCTGCGGGACGGGGCGCGGCGGGGCGCGGCTCCGCTCAGCGGGGAGCGGGGAACGGGGCCGGGCCGCCCCGCCGCGCCCCCCGCGCCCACACCTACCCTTCTCCCTGCCGCGGGGGAAGTCGGCCGAATGCAGCGCCCGCAGGTACTGCACCGTCATCTCCAGGATCTCCGCCTTCTCCAGCTTGCCCGAGCCCTGCAATGCGCCGCGCCGTCAGCCCGGCCCCGCGCCGCGCCGCGCCCCGTCCGTCCCGTCCCGTCCCGTCTCCTCCCGCCCCGCCCCGCCGCCCGCGCCCACCTGCTTGGCCAGCGCCAGCGGCACGGTGCGGCCCAGCTCCGCCAGGCACCGG